GTGTGTGTATGAATGTGTGTTGATATGTAAGGTGTGATTTTCAGATGTGTAGGTGAGTGAAGGTTTGATTGACTAGGTTATTTGTGCATGAAGTGGCTACGGCACATCCATACATTGCGTTTGATATTTTGTTAAGGAATAGGGTTATTGCGCTTCTCTTTTCGGGGAAGACGTTGAATAGGAGCATGGATGCGAAGTGAATGAGGGATTTCATGTCGGAGGTTAGATCATAGGATGGGATTTGTTTCTCTGTGTGTACTGGTTGTGTTTGGTTATAGTTTTCGGGATGAGCGCTTCTGTGAGGACATCGTGGTGAGAAGGCAGGGTGAGGACCATTACAGTTGGGACATTTTGGAGCTGATATTGTGGGGCAAGCAGTAGACCGATGGCTGAGTCCGCAGAACGGCAAATTATTGACTTTCGGAACATTCTGTGTTGAAATGTCCGCTTTTGCAGCATCTCGAGCAGTATTTAGACCGAACGGGGACGGAGTTGCCTGATCGTGGAATTTCACAGGCCAACCGTTCACCCTCGATCAAAATACCGCTCGTGAGCGCTTCAGCGAACTTGGTTTCAGAGTTAGTAAATACTCTGATGTAGGAGGTGGGTTGATTGGTGGAGCGGGCGATTATTCGAACTACTTTGGTATAGGGAAAGTTGTTTTCCTATAGGTTATCCTCGATAAGTTTTTGGGAGAAGGTTTTTGCCACGCCGGCTATGACGAGGTGGAAGATAGATGAATTATTGGGATTAGGTGATGGGTTTTGGGACTTAGGTAGACGGGCTACAATGCGGATTTGGTCGTTTTGGATGATTTTTCGGAGGTTTGCCGTGATGTGGGGGATATCAAGGAGTTTTATTGTTCGAATCGAGGCCGCCTTTTGGGCTGAACAGCTCCAATTAGTAAATTTCAACTTACCGGTAATTATGAATCAAACACCAACAAAAAAACCAAAATAATAAATCTGTCCCCTTTTAACAAAACAAAATAATATTTCTTCCAACTTAAAACATGTTCCAGACATATTATCAGACAAAGAGAAGAGAAGAAAAGATCATACACAAAAGAAAACAAACGAAACCATCTAAATGAGGAACTTAAATATATAGAAAACCTCAACAGAGAGAAATAATTCAGAGCATTCTATAAGAATGTTAACATTAACAGAAAAGAATTGAAGGCAACCAGAAGACAATGCAGAAGTCAGAATGTTGACCTATTAACAACAAGGAAAGATGTATTGATGAACTCTGTCTGGGGTAGGGTGAGGAACGGGTGGATTGAGTAGCTCGGAAATCACCTTACTGAAGCCGGTCCCAAGCCCGGATAAAAGAGGAGGGTTGAGCGGAGGATTAACTACCCACTCTCGGAAAAAGAAAAGTTATGAAAACTGCAACTTTGCCTCGGAACCGGACAGATAAACACAAAAAACAACTGCAATGTAAAAGGACTATGAATATCGGAACTTGGAATGTCCAGAGTTGGTACAGCTATAAATGCTGTGGAACAACTGGAAAGCATAGGAATGGATATAACAGCAGTCCAAGAAATAAGATGGCCAGACGATGGAAATATAAAAATAAGTAAATCCGCCATCTTCTTCAGCGGTAACAAAAACGGAAGACATGAATTTGGAACGGGCTTTGTGATTAGAGACAGCCTAGTACAGAATATAAATTTTCAAACCTATAAACGAAAGGATATGCTACATACGAATGAAGGGGAAACGATACAACATTTCGATTATCTCTGCGCATGCACCACCGGAAGAGAAGGATGAAGATATCAAGGATGACTTAGAACGATGCCCTAGAAAGAGAGATAGATACGATGCCCAAACAAGATATGCGCATACTCTGCGTTGACTTTAATGCTAATATAGGCAAAGAGATTAGCCTATATCCAACGGATAGACTAAGACTCACAGAAACTACATCAGCTAATAATATGCTAATAAAGTCAACCATGTTTCCGCATAAAGACATCCAAAAGCAAACTTTGGTCTCAAACGACCATATTACGCGCAATCAAATTGACCACATCATTATAGATGCCCGTCATGGGAACAATATTATAGACGTAAGAAGCCTGAGAGGAATAGACGAAGACACAGATCATTACTTAGTCAGAGCAAAAGTGAAATCCAGAATATCTAGCCACAAATACAATAAAGCAACAATAAACCCACTATGGAACATAGATGAAATGCACAATACAGAGAAACAATATATAGAGAAACAAAACTATAGAGAACAACTTGAACAAACCTTGAACTCTGAAAGAGAATACAATGATATAGAACAGCTATGGGAAACGACTGCTGAAATAATAACCAAGACAGCGGACAAGATCTTTGGAAGGAGTAGGTAGAAGAGGGCAAAAATATGGTATGACGAGGAATGTCGGAAACAGCTAGAAAAAAGACTTGGATACAACTGCAAACAGACCAAAGTAAAAAGGAATATGACGACTGCCGAAAAGAAACAAGAAAAATAATACGCACAAAGAAAAGAAACTATGAACCAAAAAATATGAAGCTATGGAGAGAGACCGGCCCAAACCAGGCTTCAGAGAATTAATTAATAATTCCATCAATCCACTGAGAGACAATCAAGGCCATATGATAATCGACGGTAAAGAAGTAACTGAAGAATGGAAAGAGTATTTTAGGGACCTTCTAAACATCATACAAGAAGAACAGCACAAAGAAGAGATCTATATCACAGCGGACAAGCCCGTCAAAAATCCCTCCTTTGAAGAAACCCAAAAGGCCTTAAATAAGCTGAAAAATCACAAAGCGCCGGGTACGGACGAGATACCAGCAGAACTTCAGAAATATGGGGGAGACGCACTACATCGTCTAAGTCAAAGATATTTCTAAAAATCATCCACAACCGAGTTTATTAAAAGTTGGAGTCAGATATTAGTAATACACAGATGGGGTTCAGAAAAGGGCTTGGTGCTCGAGAAACTCTCTTCGGTTTGAATGTTCTCACACAAAGATGCCTAGACGTTAATCAGGAGGTACATACGTGTTTTATCGATTTTGAAAAAGCGTTTGACAGAGTACGCCATGATAAGCTTAGAGAGATTCTTGAAAGGAAGGACATAGATAACAAAGATCTGCGAATAATTCTCAATCTATATTGGAATCAGAAAGCTAACATCAAAATAGAAATTGAAACATCACAAGCAATAGAAATACGTAGAGGAGTACGACTGGGTTGCATTTTGTTACCTCTGTTATTTAATGTATATAGTGAAAGCATCTGTCAGGAAGCCCTTTTACAAGCAAACGGAGGAATCGTTATTAATGGAGAGATTGTAAATAATATTCGATACGCGGACGACACTGTACTATACTCTGTTTTTTAACCAGGAGGAGTAAACCAAAAAGACAGATTCACACCCAAGAAAGTTACTAGAAAAGTCACCAAATACATCTTCTTTTTTTGTTGTATATCTCGGCCTTGCGGTAATCAAGTAATCAATATCTTACAACCTTACACGTCAATTCTAACCTAACTTTATGTTTGAATAATATTTTTTTTTAATTCACTTTCAATATATATTACAATTATTACAATAAAAAGGACGTTTTTCACATTTGGTCATGTATATATATTTAAATATCGGGTGATCCAGTTTTATAGATCTTTTGAGTCGATGGTACTTAATTTAGAGAATATTTTGATCCAGAGAGTCAATAATGTTACAGATCTAAGTATGGTTTTTCTCAGAAATTTGTCTTTTAATTTGCAAATAGATCTTATATGCAACAAAGCTATGCAAATGCATGTATCAAAAAGTTAAAGAGAGTTCAAAGATTTCTGAAATACTGTTCTTTTAAACTGCGTAGACCATATTCTTATTCTGGTGTGATTAATTTCTTGAATCTAGGTTTTTTTTTCTTACAAGAAGAATTAACTTTGACTTTGATCATTATTTTTAAGCTTAATAATCCAATCTCCTGAATTGCTTCAGCCAGTTTGTTTTACATATTCCTTCCCATTCACTGCTTTAGAATTGACTTTTTCATGTCATTAGATATATTTAACTTATGTATCAATATCTTAAGGATCTATTTGAAGCACTAAAATGCAAAACAATAAATTTGTATAAATAAGTGTGTATATTGCAATTTCTTTAATGCTGGATTCTTGTTTAATTTTGACAGTGAGTTTGTCCCATTTGTTATCAATAAATAAAATTTACTAAAGAAAACTGGATTTCTGTGAGATAATCAACTAATTTAATCTATTATGTTATATTCTAGTATAATTTTGTAGTTTTCTTGTGATGATCTACAACAGGAAGAACAAAACCAACTGTATCAATACAATCAAAGTAAAACACAACATTACTAATGTTCTTTTATTGTGATGAAAACAAAATGAAAATGCTTCTTAACAAGTATACACAAATTTAAAAAATAGTTGCCGTTTTTCTTATGATAATTAGATATAAATATCATACATTTATAAATTTATAAACACTTCTTCTTCTCGTGCCACTCCTAGCGGAGATTGGAAATCATCATGGCCACTGCGACTTTGTTAGCAGCGCGCCTGAAAAGTTCAATCGAACTACACCCGAACCATTCACGTAGATTACGATTACGAAGCCACGATATATAAACACGATTTATAAACACTGTAAACTCTATTTATTATATATATATATATATATATATATATATATATATATATATATATATATATATATATATATATATATCAGCTAGAAAAATATCACATTAAATACTATTATCGCATATCACCAAGTCCAAGTTATTACAAAAACAACTTCTAGAGTTAGAAATCGATTTATATAATATTCTGTGCATAATATATATTCGAAATGAATGTAAAAATAAAAATTTAATAATTTTATTAGTCTTCCAAAATCTCTCCATTTATGTCTTGGTGAGATTAATGAACAACTACACCATTTTGAATTTCTTGATTTATTTTTTCAGTAAAAACTGAATCTATTTCAGATATTTGAGCAAGAAAGTTTTGTTTTTGGTCAGCAGCCCAATGTATAAACTATTCTTTGAATAATTTCCCCTAAAAAATAACTATGGTAAGACATTCATAATATAGACAATAAATCAATCATCCTATAAACAGTAAGATAAACAATCTATAGTTATGCTATGTAATATTTGCTGCATTGAATCTGCATATGTAAAGTAAAAATATCTTTTTTTCCTTTTCTTCCCTTTCCATGTTCTTATATCTGTTGAACCAAAATACTTGACAACATTCCAGTAGAGTATACAAATAAAAACTTAAAACTTAATATTTATTAGTAACAATAATATACCTGATTTTAAAAATGAAATCTATAAAATGTTTTAGTTAATTTTACTATATAATTGTAGCTAACCCATATTTACATACCGATATTTGTACTTATTTCAAATTTATTTTCTTAAAGAATTTTATAATAATGAACGACACATATTTTGGAAGATCTAAGCGGTTGTTAATTTCACTTATTATATTAAAATTTTACTTAAAGTGAGCATTTCATTCTCGAAAAAGAAGCTGTTTACTATCTGTCGTATAGATGTTTTAACTCTTTCATCCTATGTTGCAAGAATATAAGGTCGACCTTCAATATTTTTAGGACATTTTACTGCTCCAGTCTGCTTATATTCTTTAATTGTTCTAAATTCTATTGTTGTAAATAGTTGAATTCGCAACACCTAAAATTAGCACATTACTTTAGTAAGTATTGATTTTAATAATAACTATTCTGTAAAACTAACCTGCTGCCTGTTTTATTTTTACTACCGTGGCTGTTATTTTTTATTCCAGAATTATCAATTTTCATGTTTGTACATGTTTATAGTACATTATTTTTCATTTGATGATAAATGATCCAAATCTACTCGGCGTTTTTAAGGTGGAGAAGAATAATTACCACTAGTACTTGGCATTGAATCCATATTGTTATCTTAATAACACTAATATGTCGCTAAATAGTTCTGAAAAGAACTGTATTTTATATAAATGCAAACGAAAAATCTAAAGATGTAAGAAATAACACAGAAAATACAAAAAATTGTCGATAAAAATTTTGAATTTTAAAATTCCACAAATGTCATTAGTGTCAATATGTCATAATTTAGTGGAGTAAACTTGCCTGCGCTTCGACCAATTACAAACAAGCATTATGGCGCGGAAAATTTGAATTACTCCTCCTGGTTTAAAAACAGACCATAGTTGCAAGAACAGTAGAAGAATTACAAAGATTACTTACAGACATAAATATTGCTTGCAACAATTATGGTATAAATATCAATATTAAAAAAACCAAGTATATGATCTTCAGTAAAAACATGACACAACCAGCGTATATGAGTATAAACGGCACTCAAGTTGAAAAAGTATCAAGTTACAAATACTTGGGAACTTTAATAAACGAAACTGGAGACCAAAACAGTGAAATAAAAAGACGTATCGAAATTGCCAGGGCCACCTTCATAAAGATGAGAAAATTCTTCTGCAACAGAAATATAAGCATCCCTCTACGATTAAGAATGCTGAGAGGCTATGTATTTAACACGCTATTATACGGTGTAGAGGCCTGGACTCTCAAACAGAACAACATGAAAAATATTGAAAGTTTCGAGATGTGGTGCTACCGTCGAATGCTGAAGATTAGTTGGGTTGAAAGAATAACAAACTGTGAAGTAATACGAAGAATAGGAAAAGACCCAGAGATTTTGTTAACGCTAAAGCGAAGAAAACTCGAATATTTTGGTCACCTGATGAGAGGACATAAATACGCATTACTTCAAAATATAATGCAGGGAAAAATAGAAGGAAAACGGAATCCAGGCCGTAGAAGAATGTCATGGTTGCGGAATTTGAGAGAGTGGTTTGGCTGCACCACTAATGAACTCTTTAGGTCAGCCGTAAACAAGGTCAGAATAGCCTTGATGATTTCCAATCTCCGATAGGGGTGGCACAAAAAGAAGAAGAAGCACTACATCGGGGAGACCCTCTCTCCTGTATACTGTTTAATCTGACTGGAAAAAGAAATACGTATGTCACAAATCACAACCAATGGTTCAATATATAATAAATCAGTGAGAACAGAAAACTTAATAATAAACACCAACAAAACGAAGTATATGAAAATAAGCACGCGACCACTCGTTATAGAAAACGAGGTCATCGAAGCAGTGAACGAATTTGTATACCTTGAAGCGCTTCTTAACACTGAAAATAATACTACCTCAGAGATAAACCGCAGAATTTGCACGGCCAACAGATGCTATTTCGGGTTCAATATTCTCCTTAAATTCACAATTATATCGACATAGTCCTAACATATTGTAACGATAAATTATATTTTGCCTACCACACGGGGTAAGATTATGGGGTATAACATTGGGGACTGAAACTAAAGAGGTGGAGATAGGGCAAGCAAAATAAACGTTACTTGTGCGAACGGAACTCAGGGTTTGGTAGGAGAGCTGGGGTCGTGGATAAGTAAAAGATAAGGTTTTTGGAATGGGGCAACTACAAAAAATGAAATAAAGGGTTCATTAATCTCTTGGGATAAACAAAATAAAAATAAACAGGAAACACCTCAAGGAATTTAATATAGGGCGCCACTTGAGGTGCCTAATTATAATTACAACCACTAGTTGTAACTAGGGAAATAATTATAAAACATCAAAAACATATCTTTTTCAAATAAAATTCAAAAAAGGGTTAGCTCAAAAAAAATTAATAAAATGTTAAGAAAACAAAATTTAACAATTATTTTTATGTCACCACAAACAGTTACAACATGGAGAAATACAAGAATACAAAAAACTTACGTGTGTCATCCCTATACAAACTCCAGGAGTTGGAGATACTACATAAAACTTACAAATGTTACCGCATTACAATTTTTAAATGTTACAATTTCTAAATTTTAACGAAAGCAATTATTATTCTAAAAAAATATCTGTCTTTACTTTGAAATTAAACAAACAGTAAACTTTTACCTGGATTCACATATTTCCACTTAACGAAAAAAAAACTTGTTACATCTCTGGAGTATCTATCCGGACATTATCAGCGAAGAGCTTTATTCATTGGGGCTGGAACTAGCACACTTGGAAAAACGGGAAATCTCAAAAAAACGGGAACTAAACTTGTTCAACTTTTTCAACAGAAACTAGACTTTTCGAACATCTTAAAATCTTCAAAAAAAAAAAAACGAAACAGTGGTCACTCTTTCTAAAATGACATATTACATCGAGCGAAAACTCCACCAATTTTGGCAAATTAATGCCGGTCACTTCATAATAGATAAAAATCCACCACTACTGCTACTTATTTCCACAAAAGGAGCGAAAAACAGAAAACCACAAAGTCGACGACGAATTCGGATCCATACCTGAGCCTACAACGAACTGCTCGGCGACCCAAGCATGAATTCTGGATCCCACCTGACACTACGACGACCCAAGTATGAATGACGAACTTAAAAATTCGTTCATATAACTTGAAAACAAACAAACCTGAAATAGCAAAACACAACGAAACCACGTAGATATCCTTTTGACTCATAGCATGTTTACCTCGTAAGTATTAACCACAATGTTCTTTAACCTTAGTCAACATTTTAAATTCTACGTTCTTTTAATTAAAGTGGTTATTTACTTTCAGGTTTACACTGTTTTGAAAACGTTTTGTAATACATTTGTGATAGCCCGTTTGGGCATTTTATTATATATCTTTTATAAAGGATTTGAGATAAAAGAATTTGGCCGACCTAAGAAAGAATTGAAAAGATATTTGGGTTTTAATACGTACGAAATATTCTTAGATTTATCAAACATATATAAGAAGATTTTAATATTTTGCGTATACAAGGGGATCTCAATATAAAATGCTACAATATTTTTTAGAGACCTGAACTCTAACAAAAAATAATGAAAACATGTTAGGATGTTTTGAAAGAAAAGTACCAAGGCGAATATATGGAGCAGTGAATGACAATGTAGTGTGGGGAAGACGATACAATCTCATATTGGGATATCAGGGAACCTGATATCGTAAAACATATTAAGATACGACGTGTGAGGTGGATAGGACATGTAATGCGGATGGTAACAATTTCTAAGATACGATCAATATATTGAGATTGATTCAAAGTGTCTTCTACAAAAACGAAACAGTTCGATGATAAAAAATTTTTCCAACCCACATCATAACTTGTAGACAACTATATAGACGAACAACCTGTACATGCCTGCGTCTCTCTTGTTGATCAGATCCTCTCCAAACTCTCACTCTTCATTAATCAGGGTAGAGACAAAACCTAGCTTCATCTGTAAATAACACAGAACTCCATTATTGTAAGCCCCTCTGCACATGTTCTTATGCCCGCCTTAATCCGAGTCCACGATTTCCATAACGTAACATGGAAACCCCCAATTGACGTCTGGCGTGCAAGTCAGTATCATGTAATCTATTCTTCAAAATTTGGTTACATATAGTAATGGTGAGGATATTTTCTAAAGCCCCATAGAGTTCACGTTCAGTTATATGCACATTTCGATGAGCTAATCCTAACACAAACCAATGCTGTCAGGAGTAGTTTCACGTTGACGACCCCTATGTCTTTCAGCGACATTACCAATTGTTCATATTGACGCCACAATCGCGAAATAACGCTCAGAGTCACGTCAAAATGACTTACAACATCAGTTTGTGAAAGACTAGCCTGAATCAAATTCACAGCACTTATCATTTGCAGCAAATTTTAAAGCCAATACAATAAGTGATGGATTCAACCGTTACTTGAGGGAAATTCGTTTTATATAACATTAAAACACTAAAAGCTTTGTTTTCAAAACTTCCAAAAAATTTACAAAAAAACAACAACTTGGCAAATATATTAAAAACAAGAGCCAAAATAAAAAGCACTACATAATGGTGTATACAAATTTAAATGTGGCGATTGCCCAAAAACTTATATCGGTCAAATTGGTAGAACCTTTAACAAACGTATAGCAGAACATAAAAGGGCTTTCAATAATAGGAAAACAGATTCTACATACTCACTTCACCTTCTAGATCATAATACTATTCTTTTAATGGCGAATTTCAAATTCTTCACATCCAAAATAAAGGCCTTAAGCTAACTTTATTAGTATCTATCGAAATTAACAAATTAAAAAAACACAGACATTATTCTGAATGCCCAACTTGAGACAAACAGTTCTTCCCTCCTCAACCTATTTCGTTAAAGACTTTAAATTGTAAACACATCCAAAAATAGATCATTTGAGAAAGGCACTCTGTCGAAACACTGTAGTGATAAATTTTGTGGAAGTTTTGAAAACAAAGTTTTCAGTGTTTTATCGTTATATAAATACAGACTATTTTTAAAATACGTACTGTTTCTTTATACTTTGAAGCAATTAATCATACGCATTTTTGAGGTGCTGACACTTTTGCCTTAATAAAGTATTGCAATTGACATATTAATTTACATAGCATACCTTGATTTGTAGAGAACAAGTTTTTAAATCGAAAAGTTTTAAAAAAAATAGTGGAATAATAATGTTGTTTCTTAAACATTTTTGATGTGTCTATGTATTAAAAAAATCAATCAAAATATTTTTTTCTAGCTCCAACTCCTGGATAGCAATCTCCTAGCTGTACAGTCTCTACTGAGCAAATGTCCCTCCTGCATGGATAACTTCGTTTCTACGATATGTCACTTCACCTGTTCCCCAAACCAATCCAAATTCGTTCGTGTAAATTCCACTCAAGTAAATCCAACAACGAAAAAGAAATTCATCGCAGATATCGATGTATATTTGGATAACACCTATATGGAGGGTGCTTACAATTCCTGCAAGCAAGTTAGCGTGCCAGTGGCTGGAACAAAGGTGAGTTAAATATTGTTCTGCTTGAAAAATAGGTCCTGAATACAGGTTCCACGAGATTAGAGAAAGTATGCTTTCGCTGCTGACTTCTATGATAAATGAGGCTGCGACATTTTTTTTTCTAAAAATTTTAATATTTTGAGCTTTATAATTGCTTTAGTACTAAACTGAAGCCCATATATAGAGTGTTTAACTGTTTTTTATCTATGTCACGCATGCGTGTCGGGCGTACCTAGTTATAAATTTTTTTGCCATGTGCTGACTGACACGCATGCGCGTCAATATATTTTTTACTACTTTAAAAGTTTATTGAAGACAATTTTAAGAAAACTAAGTAAAAACAATTAAAAACAAAACAAAATGTAATAAAAACTTAAACACTAGATGAACAATAAAAAAAACTTCAAATTCATAACATACATAACTACGTATTTTGTTTATATGTATAATACAAAATATTGCACTATTGATGGTAATCGTTAAAACATTCGACGCATAATCCGGGCTCTTCTGTACATTGTTGGCAGTGGTAAAGCTTCATTTTACGGATTTTCTTGCCAGAGCACACTCTACATCGCTTTCTTATTGCTTTTCCTTGTTTGTCCTTGGCTAAAATTATAGTAATAATGTGCACTGTTTTAATTGTCGGCCTCAGCTTGTTATTCATACCAATGTTTAATAGTTTTTCCAAAACTGACAATCGGTAGTCATAAAGGCTTATCTGACGTAAAACAAATTGTTTATGTAGCAAGTACGAATTCATTAGCATCAAGTGTATGTAATATATGCCCAACTTCTTGTACCACCTTAATAATTTTCTTTCTCAAGGGTAGTAATGCCGATCGACACCCCCCATATGCTTATTATAATTAAAAATTGCAGTAGGTTTTTCTCTGGGTCTATTCCTTCTATCAACAAATTCCGTCATTTCAGTTCCAAATTCATTAGAGATATAAAGAACGTCACGTTTGTCCTTCCATTTATCAACTAAAATATTATCAGAAAAACAAGCAATTCGCTCATCTTTTTTTAGTTTTTTTTTTTCAATAACGTCTTTGGGATTATGCTTCCTTTTCCACATTTAGTGTTCCATTGCAGTAAGTACTTCAATTTGTTATTATTTTAGCTAGTTCCTAGGAATTATAAAAATTGTCCATGTATACACTATGTCCTTGGTCCAAATATTCATTAAGTAGCTGTAAAACTACTTTTGTTGTGTGGCCTTTTCCACCGGCATCATCCAGGGCTCCAGTGTAGACTAAAGATTTTAGAACTAAACCACTTGGCTCTGTAAGAATATAGAGTTTTATCCCGTATTTATGACGTTTGTTCTTAATATATTGTCGAAATACCAAGCGTCCACGCCATAGTACCATTGACTTATCAAGTGAAATGTTTTTTCCAGGATACTAAACAGCAGACATTTTATTATTGAAGAACATTATTATAGGTCTTACTTTGTACAATCGATCTTGAACATTTTCTCCACTGGCTGGGTTTCTTGGAAAGTGTAAGCAACTCATTATGATAAGGAAACGATCCCTACTCATATGCTCCGAAAAACATTTTAAATTAAATAATTGATGAGATTTCCAGTAATCATTTAGTCTATTTAATTTGATGGTTCCAGCGTGAATCTTCCCGTGAAACTGGCTTCCACTTTGTAATTCTTGATTTTTCTCGTATATGTTTAGAAAGAAATATCTCTTCTGCATACAAGTTGGTTTGGCTAACGATTAAATCCAAAATGTTGTTATCAAATATCATTTTAAAATAATCGATTGGGTCATTGCCACCTGGTTGAACCAAAAGTTAATTTGTTTTCGAAAACATAAAATCTTTTATATTCATAGGAATACTTGTCCAGTCAGGAAATGAGTGTTTTAACACTCATTCATCGAGTGTTTCGTTTTCGTTGGGAACGTCATCTTGGATTTGAATTGGCATTTCATTTACTGTAACAATAAAAAAATTAATAATATTGTTATCACATAAAATATAAAAACTTGCTCTTTCTATCATCGTCTGAATACTTATCGGATTCAAAAGAAACGCCCTAGAAATCAGAATCAGTGTTACTGCCAATAGAATGTTTACTGAATAAGTCCTCCTCGTCAGTAGATTCATATAGCAAAGTTAACATCTCAGTTTATTAGGATTTTTCACCAGTACTTTACGTTTTTTACATTTTGAAGGTCCCGGTATAGAGTCCGCCATTTTAATAAGACAAAATGGTCTATACGCAAACATAACAAAATAAATAAGCCGACAATCAACCTTCCACTGCAACAATACAATCACACTCCTCGAATTCTTTGAATGCGTGTCTGACTTGACCGCGCTAATTTGTATCCCCTACTCTAGCATGTCCGAATGCCGCTAATGCCGTCTTATTGGGAAATTCTGAAAACGGCAAACATATTTTAAATACTTTGTGCCTTAGTAACACGCTAACAAGATGTGAACTATCTGCTGCATACGATGTATTTAAAATTCTATGTTAAATTTAACTGATCAGATGTCACGCAAGTATGTCGTCAGCACCTGGCAAAATAACTTAAAGTCGCGCATGCGTGACATCAGCAGTGAAAGTGTTAATAATCGGTAAATCAGGTTTTAAATTAAATAAACCGTCTCTTCAATCTAAAAAACAAAAAATGACACTGTAAAAAACTTGCAGCGAACATATTAACAAAAAGGTTGTATCCATGCAATTCTAAAATAATACAAAAAAGAAATAGTAACATACATACAAAAATGAACAGACTTTAAACTAGAAAACTTATTTGAAATTTTTTGTTTTTGTCAGGTAATGGACCTTATGTGTGGCCAATATGGCGCCGAAAAGTGCAATGCTCTGAGATGGTACCAGACTATAGGAGATCCAAATTCACCAGGTGTACCATTCCGCATCGGATTCATCAATGCTAGTGGTCCTACCAATGGGTACATACCTCTTAGTGCTGATATAGTTCCTTGTAGCAAGTCTGTAGATGTAAGTTTTGTTTTTTTCACTTATTGGTGTTACTGAACTTTGCATTAATTAATAAAAATTTTTCTATAGGGTAAGTCACCACCATGCAGTTGCGTCGACTGCGAAGACAGCTGCCCAGTACCACCTCCACCAACCCCTCCCCCAATACCATTCAAAATCGCCAGCCTCGATGGTTATGTTTTCATCATGGTCATCGTATTCATGATCGGTTCCTCCCTGTTTCTTTTTTTAAATTTTATATACAGCAGAAATTACTCAGGTGAGCAGTGATATTTATTTTTTATAGAATTCGTATTATTTTATCTTTCAAATATTATATTGCTTTATAACTATTACCATTTTAGACAAAAGCGTTTATCTCTGTTCATTATTATTTTTTATCTGGTTTGCAGTGTTTACAGGATCATATGAAGTTGCTGTAGCAGATACAGAAGCGAGTCCTCTTCAGACACCAGGTATGTAAATATTGTTCTGAAGCTATTTTCTTGTGGCATCTTAATGCAATTTACTATTTTTGTTGGGAATTAGCCTCAATTTTACTTTCAAATTAAGTTTATTTGTCGTATCGATTTCCACTTTCTCAAAATACAAAATATTAATAAATTAAACATATTTTGTTTTTGTTTTTTGGTAAAAAATTCTTTTAATTTAATTTTATCTGACTCATTTATATTGACAATTTAGACATATATTTTAAAGTAGATGACTTTAAAATGATATTGTTAATATTTTTGAGTTACGTTCCTGGGTCGACTTTCTTGTGTAAAATTATCCTGTTAATGATGCCATAATAAATCAGAAGGAAAAAAAATGTATTAATATAAAAATACATTTCTTGTGGTGAACTGTCAAAATTTTCATTAAATATTATATAACCATTTGCAAATAATGACACATTTATAAAGAATACACAATATTTTTCGAATAAATTATTAAATATTGAATGTAATTCAAATAATATTAGTTAAGTTTTGACATACCTAAATAGTTTAATGGCAAGAGAGATGGTACAGGAACTCGTTGTGGCTACAGAAAATGTAGGTTTAAATATAAATATCTCGAAAACAAAAATCATGACCAATTTGGTGCCCAACCAGAACATCAGTATTGGTGGGAAAGAAATAGAACTCGTAGATATATATAAATACCTGGTACATGAAATTATGATTGGCAGAGATAACCAGACTCATGAACTGAAGAGAAGAGTCGGCCTTGGGTGGGCAGCATTTGGAAAACTGAGAGAAACTTTTAAAAGTGAGCTGCCCACATGCCTAAAGAGAAAGGTATTTGATCAGTGCGTCCTCCCAGTCTTGGCGTACGGAGCAGAAACACTTACCTTAACAAAATCAGCAGTTACCACACTGAGAGTCACGCAGAGAAGAATGGAGCGGTCCATGTTAGGAATAACTCTACGAGACAGAATAACAAACGAAGACATCAGGAGAAGAACCGGAGTGACTGACATCATCGAGAAGATAGCCAGACTAAAATGGAGATGGGCAGGACACATAGCCAGAATGACAGATGGGCGATGGACAAAGAGGTTATTGGAATGGAGGCCAAGGGAAGACAAGAGAAGCGTCGGTCGACCACCTACAAGATGGACTGACGCGATTTTCAAATCTATACTTGAGAATCAAATTTGTAGGCAGTAAATTCTCCGAACTGTTAATGCGATAATACGACAACATCGTTACCAGTTTGTGATGATAGATATTCTAGCAATTTATAATTTAATCATTGGCATGCAGCAAAATTATCATATTAAAAATTGTTTTCTTTTTAAAGTTAAAGTATCTAATAAAATGTATTTAATAACATCAATATGTATGTATAATATTATATTTATATACAATATTTATATATAGAAAACATCTTAAGTACGATAATATTCTTTGTAAAAGCCATACATGACAACATCGTATTCTAGGACCGGTAGAAAGGAATAGTAGATCAACGTTGTCATAATATAAAGAGAGATAAATTGATTTCATTGATTTCCTACCGGAGCATTCAGTAGCGTATCGTTCACACTGTTGCAGTGAATTTTAAAAACGAATCTTAATATATTCTGATATGAGACTTATATTTAACTTTAAAAGTGAATACTTCTTATCACAAAAAAACACTTCTCAAAAAGCGACTTTCAAATTCCGTAATTTTGTACAAAACATACGAGACAAAGAAATTTAATGACAAACTATAACTTTTATTCATGACATTTTTTGTTTGCTACAAAAATTAAATATCGAAAACGCAGGTAGAGAGATTTACCCTACTGTTATTTCAATGAAAGCTTTCTTTTTATTGGAATTACTTATATTTTAAATATACTTATTTACATAATTAGGAAAATCCAATTCTGAATTTGAAAAATTAAATTAAGTCAACTTTTATTAAATAAAATAAATCGAATCGAATATACCTAATATATACACACGTCATATATATATATATATATATATATATATATATATATATATATATATATATATATATATTTATATACGCAAAACGTATTTTAGTTTGAAAACTAGGTTAACAAAATAAACTTAATTACATAAATTAATCTTGATAAAATGGTTCGACCTCAACAGGTCAACAAGTCAAAATATTAATCATCGTATGAAGACGATTTGTCGGCTGATATTTTGTAAGGCAGTAGCTAACAAGCACTTCACCTCCTCAATTTTAAAACTCAAGTTTTCTCTTGCCACTTGGTTTTTTTATTTGAGCCTATATAAGCTCGATAGGCGTATATAAGCTCGATTACAAATGTCTTAAACCAAAGATCTCCAAATCTCCAAATAAATAAATCTCCAAATGTTTGGATGATCTGCGGAAATCTGTTATTCAAACCCTCGATGCCATCCTTTTATGCAATTGTTTTTTTTTTGTAAACTTTCTTGGACCCCTTCATAACAATTCCACAGACATGTGAAAATAAGGGCAAACTTTTATTCATGACATTTACCTCTTTATGGATCCAGGTATCTTCAAAATAATCAATTACTGACTGGGCTTCTGCTGGCAACACATCTTGCTCGCAAATCGTTTCAATGCCTTCACTACTTCTGCAGTAGGAATGAAAGCTAAGGCCGCCAATAATCGGAGCTTTAAAGCAAAATCTGAATCAGTTTCATATCTTCTTTTTAAACCGTCTGACTGAATTCTTCTAAATAGACATTGAGTGGAATGGAAAAAGCACCCACGATGTCTTGAGTCGGGATATTCTTGTCTTATAGCACATAGATCATACCGCTTTCAAAATCTGTTAATATGGTTGCAGGCGAAGCTCCAAGCAAAAGTTCTTTTCATTTTGAAAGTGCGTATAGTAAGGAATCGCAGTATTCTTAGTAATCCGTGGATTGTATATAGTTGATAAAAAAGGTGAGGTACAGTTTTGAAAGTTTCGTCGACAAACCAGTGTTGTGACCTTGTCAGAATAAAAAGATTTTGTCTTGTTGAAAAAATTAACTACCGATCATCATGTGGGCCTGAATCAAATAGTAAAAATTGTTTTCCATTTTGTGTTAGTTTATACTCTTCTGGAATAACAATGTCTCTTCTGTGAAGAGATAAAGCCGGAGCGGCTTGCTGATTTCTTCGTACATGCCTTATTGTTCTTTTAATGCTGCTCACTTTTGGAAGCGTGGCAGCTGTAGCTTGACTAAGCTGAACATATGCATTGGATATTATATTATGTGGCCCATCTTTGGTTTGTGTAGCGTTTTAACGTATTCCATTAAAACATTTTGTTTTTCCACTTGCCTTGCATCCGCTATATGGTTGTGTGTCCCACTTCTTTTTACTACTGCACCTTCTAAGGTTATAACACGAGCTTTACACTTGAATGTCTTGTAGTAATAACACTTCCAATAAATGTTTTCTTTTTCTTTATCTTTATGGTAAAGATAACCTTCGATCAATAATTTACTCTTACCCTTTTCGCTAAGTACACACTCCAAAGCCATATTGCGTCGTGACCCTAGCTAAGAATTTTGACAATAACGCCATAGAAAACTGCCGTTCAAGTATTTATATGAAATTTAGTTGTTTTGGTTAGTATTAAGAGTAATGGCACATATTGTAATCTCTGTTAATGGGGGTACTTATAAAGAATTTAAGAGTGGGATTTCCCAACTCCAGGTAATCAGGTAAAATAGAATTTATTTCGTGGATATATCATAGTAGTAATTATTATTAAAAAGGACAGGAAACAAATAATAGTATATTTAGGAAGCTCGTTAGCACTTTAATCACTTTGAAGAAAACATTAAAATGTAATTAGCAAGGGATTATTGCTCTCAATTCTTGCGGAGAATAGCACATAATTTATCGTATTAGTATATAGGAAATACATATATATATATATATATATATATATATATATATATATATATATATATATATATATATATATATATATATATATATATATATATATAATATATATATAATAAATATTAACGAGATAGCTAGGTCGAACACAATATAAGCAGTAATAACTATTTAAATAGCACGTAAATTACCGTATTAGCATATAGGAAATACATGTAAAGCAATAACTATTAAAATATATTTTTCGGTGAATTCTCTTTCGGGCAATTGATTTTCTGTAAATTGTCTATTATCTATGTCGAATCGTTAAATAAACTCAATTTTAAAGTAAAGTTGTGGCGTATTCTCAACAAAAACAGTAAAGTGTATATAAATATTTTAAACAAATATTAGCCATATTTCTGTATGCCATTTTCTTCATCTTTTGATGAGATTTTTAGCCTTTTCAGTAATTTAGTAGTTTACTAAACTACACAAATCACGTGAAGAATCTATTATTTACGTCTGCATTTTTCTCACTTTGCTGCTCCTTTAATAATATCATTTGTTTCCTTTTTTTATTGGTATTGTATATTCCAAACGAGTTTTTGTTATTATTTATTTAATAGATTTTTTAACAAATTCTTATTTCAGTGTCTACCGAACAAGTACCCGAGATGAAAACTACTAAGCCAATGGAAGCCTTATCTTTTATTGAAAAATTGGGTGCAAGCTTCGACATATATTTACAAAACACATTTGAGAAATGGGGAACGTTTTGTGCTCAGAGACCGCTGACTATTCTCTTACTAGGAACTCTGATGGTGATCGGTTTCGCGTATGGAATCAGAGATTTAAAAGTAAGTACAAGCTTTAGCAATATTAGATGACATGTCAATTGTGTACCGTTTATTCCTTGTTTTTACCAGAAAGTTAAAAATCATATATTATATTTTTTTTTTCTATTTATATATTTTATGGTATTCCGCTTTTCGCACTAAAAATTATTTTTCTTTCAACAAAAACCAATATTGCTGCAAAAGGTTGGAGCATATATATATATATATATATATATATATATATATATATATATATATATATATATATATATATATATATATATATAGCATAGGTATAGCAAACTCCTAAGTGGAGCATACAGCTTCAGTGAAAACGCGTTATCGGGTTCTATTATGCGCTAAGGCCTTCACCTCATTCCAAGACTTTCCTTGACATCTTATATCGTCCATGATGGATCTTCTTCCTTGGGGATTCCACTCTAGGGCAATCTTTGCAATACTGGAATTATTTTTTCTGAGTGTGACCAATCCAACCCACTTTCTGGACTTTATTTGATGTTCTACCCTTTTCTGTTCGGTCAGGTCTAGTAGATCTTTGTTTCTGATGATGTTGGGCCAGAAAATACGAATAATTCGTAGTAGATATTTATTAATAAAGACCTGCAGTTTACCTGAACTTATCACTTTTATGTGATGTTAGTCTGCCTATTAGATTTCTAGATGTGTGTCCGATGTATGACTAATCACAATTTTCACATGGTATTCTTTAAACTACATTTGAGCTTTCCATAATATTAATAGGTGATTTAGTTTTTGTATAAATGATGCCAATGTTTTAACATTTTTAGTTGCAATTTTATAGTTAGTCTGGGTTTTAATGTTGGTATGTAAGGTAGTGATATAAAAGTAAATTGAGATTGCTGAGAAAGTAAAGTAAGTAAAACTCTTTTAGGTTTGTTAAGCTTTCGAGTTTATTGTACTCTTTTTCAAAACGTACTAAAAATTAACATAAAAAAGTACATTAGAAAAATGAAGTTGTTATATCTTCAGTAGGCTAACCCTTGTGAGAATTGTGTTTTAAAATTAGCAAAATTAATTAACATAATGACATTATTAAATTTGATTTTCTTTTTCGTTCTGTCAAAACTTATTACCAAGGTTTACATGTCTCTTCTATTTTTTATATTTATTTTAGGTTAGTTTGACAGAGGAAGTGTCTATGTTTATGCAAACCTTCATTGCAAATTTTGATATAATATGTAGAAATGTTTCGTTTGAAGTAATTAAACTAGCAACAGAGTTTATGTTACTAAGTAATTAAGAAAAAAAAAACAAATAAAAATAAATTTTATCTCATTTGAACTTGGAATAATCCCTTTAATATGCGTAGCTTTTAAGAACTTTTATATTGTTATTCTTTTATTTAAAAGAAGATTACTGTATATAGCACTAAGATTTTCAATGTCTTCTCTTTTGTTTAAGATGTTTTGTGTAGTTTTAATTAAACACATTTCTAGAAACAATCTATTGTTGTAATTTCTTTCCCTTCTCAATATTTCTGTTTGATCATAGTTAGTCGTATGGCCCATTGTAATACAATGTTCACTTAATGCATAGGCTTGTACTTTATTCAGATTAATGTCACTCTTGTGAGATGTTAATCTTCCGGACAAATTTCTGGACGTTTCTCCAATATATACTGTATTACAATTATTACAGGATAGAGAGTACACTACATTGGAGCTTTCTTTATTATTTAAGGGTGTTTTCAAGTTTAGTATATAATTTTGATATTGTTTTTATATTTCTGGTTCCAATTTTGATATTAGGTACTTCTCTAAATGTATTTAGTAGTCTATATGTTAAACCTGGAATATATGGTAAAGAGTGGTACAATGTAAAAGAGTTTTACTTAAAGGCCAATATTGACTACTAAACCCAAGATGAATATCCTGGCTGCATAACCTGCGAAAATGGTTTAACTTAACCACTACCGGACTTTTTAGTGCAGCAGTCAACAAAGTCAGAATAGTCATGTTAGTGTCCAACATCCCTAACAGATAGGCACCATAAGAAAAATTTTAATTATGGAAATTTTATAATTAGTATTCTAATGTATCTTCCTTGTTTGTACTATACCAGATTGTTTTATAAATGTATACTCATGTTAAAAACAATACATTTCTCTCCCTCTCTATCTCATTAATATTTATATTAGAATTAATTTATATCAATTATTCTCGTAGATTATCACAGATCCAGTGGAACTCTGGGCATCTCCATCTTCTAGAAGTCGCGTAGAAAAAGATTTCTTCGACAGTCACTTCGAACCGTTCTACCGTACAGAACAAGTCATCATCAGAGCAATGCATATGTCAGAAATCACCTACAATAACTCTGATGAAATACTGAAGTTTGGTCCTGCTTTTAATGCGACTTTCTTAAAATCTGTTCTGGACTTACAAAAAAAGATACAGTCCATTGGTGAAGGAAGTGATCACAGCTTGGACAGGATATGTTTTGCTCCGTTAAGAAATAACTGCCAGAACGTGACCAAAGTGTCGGAATGTGTCGTACAGAGTATCTGGGGATACTATAAAAATGACGCTGCGAATTTGGACAGCGACTATTTGAATACATTTATCTCTTGTTCAACGTAAGTATATATTTTAATCATCAAGTTTTTTAAATTTTTTTATTTTTTTTTATTCAGAAGATAAAATAAAGAAATAAAACATAAAGAAATAGTTGTAACATAAAATAAATCTGAATAGGTAAAAAGTATTTTCATCATCATCTTGGTGCTACAGCCCTTAGAGGGCCTCGACCATCTCAAGCTTTCTACGCCATTCTGTTCTGTCCCTTGCTTGCATTTTCCAGTTGCCGACTCCGATCTTCTCCGCATCTTGTGTTACCCCATCCATCCACCTCAGCTTTGGTCTACCTCGTCTTCTCATTCCCACGGGTTGCGCTGTTATAATCTTTTTTATCATGTTCGATTCAGAGGCCCGAGCTACATGCCCTGCCCACTGCAGGCGGTTTCGCTTAATTATAGTGATAATATCTTTACCACCAAACGTATGCTTGTAGATATTCTGCAGTTCAAAGTTATATCTACGCCTCCATATTCCGTTCTCACAGACCGCTCCGAATATCTTGCGTAGCACCTTTCTTTCAAAAATGGATAGAGCGGATTCATCTGTTTTCGTTAGCGTCCATGCCTCTGATCCATTTGTGAGAACGGGGACTATCAGTGTTCTATACAGCCTTATACGAGTTTTTTGAGACAGACGTTTGTTAGCTAAGTACTTAATATTTATATAGAAAACATCTTAGTACGATAATATTCTTTGTAAAAGCCATACATGACAACATCGTATTCTAGGACATCGTATTCAACGTAGAAAGGAATAGTAGATCAACGTTGTCATAATATAAAGAGAGATAAATTGCTCATTGATTACCTAGCGGAGCATTCAGTTTTCAGTAGCTTATCATTAACACTGTTGCAGTGAATTTTAAAAATGAATCTTAATACATTATGATATGAGACTTATATTTAACTTTAAAAGTGAATACTTCTTATCACAAAAAAAACACTTCTCAAAAAACGACTTTCAAATTTCATAATTTTGTACAAAACATACGAGACAAAGAAATTTTCTATGACATTTAATGACAAACTATAACTTTTATTCATGACATTTTTTATTTGTTACAAAAATTAATTATCGAAAAGGCAGGTAGAGAGATTTACCCTACTGTTATTTCAATGAAAGGTTTCTTTTCATTGGAATTACTTATATTTTAAATATACTTGTTTACATAATTAGGAAAATCCAATTTTTAAATTGCAAATTACATTAAGTGAACTTTTACTTATAGTGAACATATAAACACTCACACATATTATATTACAATTAAATAAAATATATCGAATATGTAAGTATTCATTTTTTTTTTTTAGATCAAAGTATATTGGTGCAAAACGTATTTTAGTTTAAAAACTAGGTTAACAAAATAAACTTACTTACATACGAAAGTAATCTTGATAAAATGGTTCGACCTCAACAAGTCAACAAGTCAAAATATTAATCATCACATAAAGACGACTCGTCGGCTGATGAAGAGCTATCGAGATCACTATTATTTACATTGATAATTCTATTCATTGTATATATTATTTACATTGATAAGTCTTACATTCTATATTCTTCTTTTATAGTGTGTCTTATACAATTTTTCCAAGATTCAGGTGTGATATTTTGTATGGCAGTAGCTAACAAGCACTTCACCTCTTCCATTTTAAAACTCAAGTTTTCTCTTGCCACTTGGTTTTTTATTTGAGCCTATATAAGCTCGATAGGGTTCAGCTCACAATGATAAGGAGGGAGGCGATGTACAATTATGTTGTTTGCACGAGCCATTTCATTGACTGAATATTTCTTGAAAACGGATATATGTATCCTCGCGAGGTTTAATAATTGTAGCTTCAACATGTTGTCATCGAATGGTATATTTTTTTGAGAGAGCCAGTTGATTATTTCACCTTTTCGCCAGGCAGTCGTTGGTGATGGCTCCAACCGTCGACTGTGGTATGACGCATTGTCCATAACAACGACAGAATTTGCTTCAAGGTTTGGTAGAATATTTGAAAACCATCCTTCGAATCTTTGAGCGTTTATTTCCTCATGGTAATCGTTGGTTTTCTTGGATTCGAATAGTAAAAAGCCGTTCTTCAAAAAATTTGAATCGCTGCCTATATGTGTTATTATGAGCCTCCGTCCTTTGCCCACTGGTGTTTTTAAACCTAATGAAAGCTCTTCAATGAAGGCTTGTCGACGTCTTTTAATTTCCAAATCTTGCCACACCTTTGAGACAGTATGACCTTGATTTAGCCAAGTTTCATTTAAATAGTATACTTTTCGTCCTTGATGACGATACTCTCGGATTTTTTGTAATTTAAGTAATGCCACAAAACAATTTCATCTTTTTCTAAAAGAACACTATTCCTGCTTCTTTTCATATATTTAATGTTCATTTCTTCTAATGTTCGCAATAAAACACGTCGTGATATTTTGGGTATTGAATTATCGCAATTTATTTCAACTTCAACTTTCTTTAAGGTTGGGATTTCGTTCCGAAAAAAGAAAGCATGGAATTTCCTCCGAATAGCAAATTTGTATGATCTTTAAGCTGGATGCGGTTTCTACCTCTGGTTTCAATGGTTTCAACAGGTCCATCATCCAATTTGCCTTCACTTTGTTTAAAATTGTTTACAATTCTGTATACACTTTTAGGTTTTAGGAAGGTATAACCATTACCTTCTAACCTAAAATTATTATTTATTGTAATTAGAGGTAATGGATTTTGACTAGAGCTATGAGTCATGCCGATGCAGTACACAAGTTTACCTATTATTTACAAGGTCATAGCTCTTGGTAAAATCCATTACCTATAACTCAAATTTATAAAACAATAATGGAAAGTATTGAGTTGTACGGCGATATAGTATATCTTTTCGAAGTAAAAATATTAAGAGAATAAAAGTTTTGATTCTAAAAGTATGTCGAGTGGGAGATAAAAAAATTGAACGTATTAAACGAGCACTGAAAGACGTATGTGGCGTTCTTCATCATTTTTAGTGGCTAATTTAGATTTATCATCCCAAAAAACTCCAGCTTATCAAATTTCGTGTTGTTATACCATGCCTGTCACGAAATATTCAAAAATAAAAGTTTACTTTTGACACCCTTTATTTTGGTTATTATCAACATTCATACTAAAGTAAGTTAGTTTAAATCTGCCTATTTTAATCTCAGAAATCTAAGATTAAGTTATGGCCATTCGTTGCCAAACACCATGTATATTATATTATATATATATATATATATATATATATATATATATATATATATATAATATAATAACCCAAATGTCAATAATAATCATATTAAAATTAACATAATTATAAATAGGTACATATTTATTTAATACACAAGTAGCTTTGTCGTAACTTCTTATGACATTTTTCGTACGCCATTGGAAGACCTACAATAGCGATGAACCGTCACTATCACTTCCAAGAATTTACTGCCTAGATTTCTGGGTTCTGACTATAGTCTAAAATCCATTATAACTGGATTGTGATAGCTATGAATGTCAACTCCAAGTTATGTTTTAGTAGATTTGCGTATATTCGGCATTATCTTTCTTTTAGATTTAAGGTTCATACTGAACTGATAAATGACTCTCCGACATATTAAGATATTACTGCATCTATTATTGTTATTTTTTTTTTAATTTATAGAAACCCCTATGACTGTCTCGCACCGTATGGAGGCCCTGTTGATCCAGCTATAGCCCTTGGAGGTTTTTTGGAACCCGGACAGAACTTGGCCAAACACGCGGATTATAAAAAAGCTAACACTGTCATACTAACGTTCATCGTTAACAATCACCACAACAAAACTATGTTATCTCAAGCCTTACAATGGGAAGAAAAATTTATTAAGTTTATGAAAAATTGGACTGCGACGGAAAAACCTGAATATATGGATATCGCGTTCACTTCTGAGAGATCCATCGAAGATGAACTAGAGAGAGAAAGTCAATCTGATGTTGTAACTATTCTCATTTCCTACATGATCATGTTTGGTTATATCGCTATATCTTTGGGACAAATAAATAACTGGTCTAGGCTTTTAGTGGACAGTAAAATAACTCTGGGTACGTATCAATTACGATATTTTCAATTTTGTGTGTTAAATAGTATTTTTTTAATAGGTCTTGGTGGAGTTCTTATCGTACTAGCATCAGTAGTGTCATCAGTTGGTATATTCGGTTATATCGGTATCCCAGCCACCCTTATCATCATCGAAGTGATCCCCTTCTTGGTGCTGGCCGTAGGAGTAGATAACATCTTTATTTTAGTACAAACCCACCAAAGAGATAGCAGAAAATCGAATGAAACTCATGCAGAACATATCGGCAGAACTTTAGGACAGGTTGGACCGTCGATGCTGTTGACCAGCATTTCTGAAAGTTGCTGCTTCTTCTTGGGAAGTTTATCTGATATGCCAGCTGTTAAAGCTTTCGCTTTGTATGCTGGTATGGCGCTGATGTTTGATTTCTTACTCCAGATCACTTGTTTTGTCAGTTTGATGAGTTTGGACATTCAACGGCAGTCTGCCAACAGGTAACAATAAACCTAGTCATATTTTCCATCTTGGGTATAAATACAGAGACATAATACCTAAAAAATTGTCTAATCGCTCAAAATATAGCGCTCAGATAGAAGTGAATACTTCTTATAGCGGGTTATTAATGTATGTGGATACATGAAATTTTATATCTGCTTATTACTGAATTGTTTTATATAAATCTTATTTTTTTTCTTTAAATGTATTGTTTAATATTAGTAATTCTCAAAATTTGTTAAATATAATATAGAATGTATTCATCATTTATATTTTCATTATTATCTTTTATTTATGTTTAATTATGGAAATGGACAGACCACATATAAAGACACAACTGCACCACAAACAACGAAAGTAAAAGTATTGTTTCAAAAAGGTGATGGAGTTTGAGTATCTCAGAGTAACCCTAACGAGTAAAGGAGAAGAAAGCCAAGAAATTGATAATCGGATTTGGAGAAGAAGGAAGACAACTACTAAGTACAAAAAACGTTTCCAGAGATGCAAAATTGAGACTATGCCAAACAATGATTCAACCCACAATCCTGTATAGAAGCAAAATTTTTTTGAACAGAAATCAAGAAAATATTGAGTGTTTTAAGAAATATATTTGGGGGAGTAAGAGGCTATGAAGACTTTTGGAGGAGACGAACAAATGCAGAAATCGGATGCTGTATGAGAAACCAGAAATTAGCCAGATCGTCAGCACAGACACTTAGATGATTAGGTCATCTTGCGAGAATGACAGATGGAAGGTGGGCAAAGAAATCGCTGCTGAGAGAGGAAGAAAAAAAGAGAAGAGGAAAACCACGGAAAAAGTGGCTAGAAGCGAGTAAAAAAGACCTACAAAGAATCATAGATTTAAATAAAATTAAATAAAATGTAATCAAATAAAATATAATATATATATATATATATATATATATATATATATATATATATATATATATATATATATATATCGGTTTTAGAACGTCTTTCGACGTTGTCCGATGCCTAACTTCCACGTCCTTCTATCATCCCATTGGCCGTCTCTAAGATCTCTTGTACTCATTGCTTTAGTTACCCCTTCTTTCCATGTCTTTTTGGGTCTTCCTCGTTTTTTGCGGTTTGGTGGTACCCACTGCATAATCTTCTTGGGTAGTCTTGTGTCTTCCATTCTTTGAACATGACCATACCAAATCAACTGTTTCCTCTCAATGTCTGTTGTTAAGTAACCATCTATTCCAATTCTTCGTCTTACTTCCTCATTTCGAACTCTTTCCCTGCGGGATATACCTAACGATCTTCTAAACACATCCATTTCTACAGCTTCTAATTTTTTTCTGTTGTTCTCGGTTATTCTCCAAGTTTCTGCTCCATAAAGTAGACTGCTTTTAATTAGTGACTCATAGATGTTATATTTTCGCTTTATTCCTATTTCAGAGCTCCAAAGTATTCCATTTAGGCAGCCAATTGTTCTTCTAGCTTGTGTAACCCTTTTCTTTATTTCATCATCGTCTTTTCCCGTTCTATCGAAGATTACTCCCAGGTACGTATATTCACTACAGGATGTGATTTCTTCATCATTCTCTAGTTCGATATTGGATAACTCAGCTCCTATGGGTAGGTATTTAGTTTTTTCTACATTTATTTCCAATCCCCACTGTTCACTGTAAAATATAATAGTAAAACAAAAAAAAAATAAACTAAATGAAAAACTCTCCCTTCTTGCGTAAACGATAAGAAAGCTATGCTTCCGCTCCTCGGTCACTACCAGTTTAATTTTATGTAATTTTATTCAATTTAATATAATTTATTTTAACTGTATTTAATTTTATTTTATACAAATATTTTAAAATCAAAGTTAACCAAATCGATCCAGTCGTTCTCGAGGTATTATAAAAAAAGTGTATTGTTTTGCTAAAAAATTCTTTATCTGTAATTATTACGATAGCAATCAAACCTTTATAAAGTCCAATTAGTTAAAGTTAAATTACCATTCTAAAGTCACTGTACACTGAGGCGAAATACAGCGTGACACACAATGGAATCAACGAATTTGACATACTTACTGGTGTCAGACAGGGATGCGCACTCTCTCCGGTTCGTTTTAACATAGAAGTAGACTATGTTTTCTTCAAACTATACCTACTCCGACACAGGAGGGATACAGTGGACGTTAACCACGCGCCTAAACGATCTGGAATACGCCGACGATATCTGCCTGTTAAGACAAAGGTTCCAAGATATGGCTGATCAATTGCAAACACTTTCCACTGAAGCCAATAAAGTAGGTTTGAAAATCAAAATCAATAGTAAATCCAATAGAACAGAAATACCTGAATATCATGAACCCACAGCCTCCTAAATTATATTCTTTCATTAAACTCCACAAACCGGATCACCCAATAAGACCTGTAGTTTCTTTTTATACAGCTTCATCATATAAACTTTCAAAAAAACTGTTAGAGATTATTTTAGAACACACGAAATTTTCACCTAAATTTACCATAAAAAATACAATAGAACTAGTTAATAAAATACAACATTTTCAATTACCTAACAACTCCAGATTAATTTCATTTGACGTAAAAAATCCTTTTCCTAGTATCCCTCCTACAGAAACTTTTATTCTAGTAGAAAACCTTTTAGACCAAAATAGTAGAAATCCAATAATTATATCTAAAATTTTACATCTTCTTGAAGTTTGCATAAACCAGGACTACTTTGAATTTAATGACCAAATATATACAAATAACAGTGCAGGACTTATAATGGGCAATCCTCTAAGCCCATTACTATCAGATATTTTTATGGACCATCTAGAGACAAAGATTTCAAAACATCCCGTATTCAAACAATTTCTATATTGGTGGAGATACGTAGACGAAGTACTGGTATGTTCCACAGGAACTAACAGACAACTCGACCAATTTTTATCGTATATTAATTCACTTCATAGTCATATTGAATTTACAATAGAAACAGAACAAAATCAATCCATAATTTTTTTTTAGATTTAAAAATTATCAGACTTAAAAACAAACATGACTTATCCATACTTCATAAACCTACACATACTGACACGACTATACACAATTCATCATCCCATCCAACACAACATAAACTGGCAGCTTATCATAGTATGTTACATAGATTAACAGAAATTCCGATGTCAAAATACAACTTTGAGACATAATTAAATATAATTAAGCAAATAGCAGTAAACAACGGATACAACGAACAAACAATTAATAAAATGTTAAATCAAAAACTACACAAGAAAGCCCCGAAATTAGTATTTCCACCACCAGAGAAAAAACCCAGTACCTTCTGCTCGATTACATATACAGGCAAAATAACAACAAAAATAGCCAAACACATAAAAAAGAAAAATTAATAACACCAGCTTTCCGAACAAATAACAACCTAGGCAAATATATTAAAAATAACAAGAGCCAAAATAAAAAACACTTAAATAGTGGTGTGTACAAACTTCAATGTAGCGACTGCCCAAAAACTTACATCGGTCAAACTGGTAGGAACTTTAATAAACGAATAGCAGAACATAAAAGGGCTTTCAATAATAGAAAAACAGATTCGACATACGCACTTCACCTTCTAGATCATATTCATTCTTTTAATGACAAATTTAAAATTCTTTACATTCAAAATAAAGGCCTTAAGCTATCTTTGTTAGAATCTATGCAAATCAACAAATTAAAAATCACAGATATAATTCTGAATGACCAAGTTGAGACAAACAGTTCTCCCCTCCTCAACCTATTTCATTAGAGACTATAAATAATTGTAAACGCATGCCAAAAATAGATTACTTGAGAAAGGCAATCAGCTGAAACAGGTGTAGTGATAAGAGTTAAAATAAATTTTGTGGAAGTTTGAAAACAAAGTTTTCAGTGTTTTATTGTTACATATAGATAGACCTTTGGCATTTATCCCGTCAGGATAATGTCAACTTAACTTGCTTAGATATTTTAATCGAAAGCCGAAGCTCAGAAATACTATTTCTAGTAGGCGAATAAATTACCTTTTTTTAAATAAACCGTTTGTACTTTTCTTATTATTTAATTTAGTATTAGGGTATACATATACATATTGTTGACAGGGTTATTGTTTTCTTTTCTTAGTCAATTATCCTACAAACTACATAATAGGTGAAAGGTAATATAGCTTTTAGGCCTTCTATATATTTCAACCGCGGACTAGGCCCTTAAGGCTGATCAATTGAATACTGATCTACTCACGACACCCGAGCACTGAGGCCGTGTACGGCACACATGGGCTTGGTGGCCGGATCCTTCTCGGGCGCCTAGCCGGCGAGGAGAACAAAATTTATTTTGCCAAATAGGCGGCTGAGTGACCGAGCACACACTCTTTTCCGGACATGGAGTCGCCAGCTCTTCTTCTCTTCTTCTACGGCACTACAGCCCAAAATGAGCCTTGGCCTCCTTTATTTTTTGCCTCCACCCTTGTCTGTCTGTGGCTGCTCTTCTCCATACACGGACTCCTAAAAGTGCTTGTGCGTCGCTGCTCTTCGACATACGCACTTCACCTTCTAGATCATATTCATTCTTTTAATGACAAATTTAAAATTCTTTACATTCAAAATAAAGGCCTTAAGCTATCTTTGTTAGAATCTATGCAAATCAACAAATTAAAAATCATAGATATAATTCTGAATGACCAAGTTGAGACAAACAGTTCTCCCCTCCTCAACCTATTTCATTAGAGACTATAAATAATTGTAAACGCATGCCAAAAATAGATTACTTGAGAAAGGCAATCAGCTGAAACAGGTGTAGTGATAAGAGTTAAAATAAATTTTGTGGAAGTTTGAAAACAAAGTTTTCAGTGTTTTATTGTTACATATAGATAGACCTTTGGCATTTATCCCGTCAGGATAATGTCAACTTAACTTGCTTAGATATTTTAATCGAAAGCCGAAGCTCAGAAATACTATTTCTAGTAGGCGAATAAATTACCTTTTTTTAAATAAACCGTTTGTACTTTTCTTATTATTTAATTTAGTATTAGGGTATACATATACATATTGTTGACAGGGTTATTGTTTTCTTTTCTTAGTCAATTATCCTACAAACTACATAATAGGTGAAAGGTAATATAGCTTTTAGGCCTTCTATATATTTCAACCGCGGACTAGGCCCTTAAGGCTGATCAATTGAATACTGATCTACTCGCGACACCCGAGCACTGAGGCCGTGTACGGCACACATGGGCTTTGTGGCCGGATCCTTCTCGGGCGCCTAGCCGGCGAGGAGAACAAAATTTATTTTGCCAAATAGGCGGCTGAGTGACCGAGCACACACTCTTTTCCCGACATGGAGTCGCCAGCTCAGGCTGGCGGAACTCACGCTCTTTTTCTTTTTTCTTTTAGGGACTCAAGTCCCGAAGTGAGGCTAGAGTAAAATCAATAGAGTCAATAAAGTAAATAGGATGTAGCTACCCCTACAGTTAGGTGGCATAACCACAGTCAATAAAAACAGCAGGTGTCTCATTACCCAGGGCACCTTAAGTAACATTCACATCATAAGCCTCCTCACGTAAGTCACACGATGAGGATAGGTGGAGGAAAAGCCTGGGGGTCAGATAGGTACCGCTTCAACTAGTGAAGTGTGACTGGTTTGATCTTCGGACATGTGGATCCCATTCTTAGATTGGTATACACATGTTCCTAGAGGCAGGGTTGATCACTAGCGTGTGTGTGTGTGTGTGTGTGTGTGTGTGTAAATGTCATTTTATTTTTTTATAATTTTTTTTATAACAACTCAAGAATGACTGGCTCGATTTGACTAATTTTGATTTAAAAATATTTGTATTAAATTAAATAAAATTAATTAAAATAAAATTAAATAAAATCGAATTGTATCGTATCGAATCGAGTAAAATAAAATAAATTAAAACCATCGCTTCGTGCGTAGACATAAATAATGAATAAATTATATGTTATACTTAACAAATTTTGGAAACTAAATTAAATCACTAAACAAAATTTTTAAAGAAAAAAATTTAGGTTTTTTAAATTTTAAAGAACTTCAGTGTGGGATAATAATCCATTATAAAAAATGTTAACGATTTAGAAATAAGCAATTACTATTTAAATGGGAATAAGCCACAATTAAAGGTTAAAGTAGTTTATCGACGTTTCAATTTCCACTTCGGAAATCATTCTCAAAATACAAACAGATTACCGAAGTGGAAATTGAAACGTCAATAAACTACTTTAAAATGCCACAAGAAAATAGCTTCAGAACACTACAGAATGCTTTAGAACAATATCAGTAATAAGCAGACATAAAGTAACTATTTTATAATGCTCGTTTTCAGGTTTGACATATTCTGTTTCCTTCGAGCCTCGAAAAAAAACGAACCTCACTCAACTGGTGGTCAAGAAGGTCTACTGTACTCCTTCTTTAAATATCTTTATGTACCAACATTAATGAACAAAGCTGTCAGATGTACTGTGATGGTTTTGTTCTTCGGATGGCTGTGTTCTTCTATAGCTGTAGTTCCCCATATTGAAATTGGTTTAGACCAGGAGCTGTCGATGCCGGAAGATAGTTTTGTGTTAAAATATTTTAAGTACCTGAATGAATATTTGAGTATGGGTAAGTAATTTAATATATCGTTAAAGTATTTTCCATTTTGGCTGAAAAAAAAATTAAACATTGAATACTAGAAATATTATTTACAATTTTTATTGTGAATTAATCACCATTTCAGTTTAAAATACTTTTATTTTAACCTTTACGCCCTAGGTAGTGTAGTTACCTTACTGGACAAATAGTGTGACTTGTCGTCCTAGTCTTTTTTATTATATTCCTTACGCTCCATACACTCACAATTGTGAGCGTCTTATTTATAGGTGACATTAGGTTTAAAATATCATTTTACACTAGTTGTTTCTCTATCTACGACACGATAGTGGGTGCACGTGTCTATCATATTGTCGCGGGAGATTACCGAAAATTTGCTTAGATCCGTATGATATTGTTCAGTGAATGGTAACGACTTTTTGTCAAGTGTATTAATATAGCCAAACTTCACTAGACACATCATGAATTTTCTATATGGAATAAATCTTACTGAACTTTCCTATTAGAATCTTATTCGGGGAAGTCTAGGGTGCTATAAATTGATGTCAAAATAAGAGATCATAGGTTAAGATGGTTCGGACATGTTCACCGTCGACAAGTTAAGCACCCAATACTAAAAATTGCTAATTTGCAAGTTCCTGGGGTAAAGGATAGGGATGCATAGAGATAAAGAAAAAGATAATATCTATGACCAAAATATATTACACATATATTGTGGAACAGTTAAAAATTATTTTTTTAATTTATAGGACCTCCAGTATACTTTGTCGTAAAAGGAGGACTTAACTACAGTGACATCGAAACTCAGAACTTGATATGTACGGGTAGATACTGCAAAAGTAATTCCATAGTTGCTCAAATATATGCCGCCAGTAAGGTTCCAGACGATACATACATTGCCAGACCTTCTTCCAGTTGGATAGACGACTACTTTGACTGGGCAGACAATCCTAAATGCTGCAAAAAATATACCAACGATAGCAGCTTTTGTCCGCATAAAACTAAAGGCTTTGGTAAGTTCAAAAAGCTTTTTAACTCTTATAAATTGAAGGTTACAATAAATTTATATTTTCAGCGTGCAAACAGTGCAACATCAAATTCGACGGTCCAGAAAACCGACCACTGCCAGAAGATTTTAAACGATACGTTTCGTTCTTCTTGAGAGACAATCCAGATATAGATTGCCCTAAAGGAGGTCACGCCGCATACGGTCAAGCAGTTAACTATAAAACTAATGCTACCACCAAATTATCTACTGTTGGAGCTTCCTACTTCATGACTTACCATACAATTTTGAAGACTTCGAAGGATTTCTATGAGAGCATGAGATCATCGAGAAAGATAGCAGCCAATCTCTCAGATACTGTTGCGGTTGATGTGTTTCCCTACTCAGTGTTTTATGTGTTCTACGAGCAGTATTTGACGATGTGGTCAGACACACTTTTCAGTGTTGGTAAGTAGTAAAAAAATATGTTTAATAATAATTGTGAATATACCTAACCACAAAAATGTTGCACCACCAAAAGTGATGCTTATTTCATAGTTGATTTTCTTGTGAACGGATTCCGATAATTTCTTTTATTTTAGATTTTTTTCTTTTGTGTATTTATACTGTTGGGTAAAGGTTTACTCAAGCTTCTTGGAAAGTTTCGAACTTAGTTTTGAGGTTCTAATCAGTTAGTAAATGCCCCTTTGTCCGCTTCTCGTCGATCGATGATGATAGGTATAATAAAGGTTAAAGTTGTGGAGTAAAAGTGTTGATTTATTGACAGCTATTGGTAATTAGACAATATGATGTTCGTTAGGTAACTACTTATGATTGACTGTGTTCATATGAGCTCAAATCCCCAATTTATAATCTCACAAATAATTCATACCTAAGCATATAGGTCATTGCTTTCTATCATACCATACGAACAAACTTTGCTTACAATACAATTTAATCTACGCCTTAATTGCGAGACTTAGGAAGTTCAATTAGAAAATATATTATTCGGTAATTTATTTAGTTGTAGGTAAATGAACTAACTATTAAAATATTATACGATATGGTTTTACAATGTCACTTATATACGGTGAAAATATAAAAGATTAAGAAGTTAAGAATAATGTGAGATTACAAATTAAGGGGTTAATTTGTGATTGAACACTTCTCTTTTGAGCTTATACCGGGTGGAAGAAATGAAATGTTTTTCTTATGATAAGTTTGAGACCCCCTGTGGGTATACATCGAAATCATGTATTTCATGTTTTTTAACTTTCCTGATACCTTTTTTTATTGACATCCCAATTTATTACAATCTGCATTTTTTACACATTAAGCATTAAGTAATATTTATTTCGATGAAACTATTGACATGTGGCGAACATATTCTATTCGTCTATTAAACTATTATTGGTTCTGGGAAAAACATGATTACCACTACAATTTTTGGTTTGCTCGCACTAGATCGCTAGGCACTTTACGTTTCAACCTATGCACTATACGCATATGGAGCCTTTGTATAATTTCAGTATTATAATTTGCCGCTGTCATCAAAAGTTCTATCCCATAGGTCCATACTGGGTTCAACACCGCTTTGTATAGGAATAATTTATTTTGAGTTAACTAGGATTGTTTTTCTATTAGCCGGTATATGTCTCTGACTTGACGACCCCGTTTTTTTCTTTTGGAAGATATGTATTTATTTCAGATCAGTTTTCTATCCAAGCGAATCCCAAGGTACTTTAGATAATCTTTCTGTGCTATTTCAATCTGTGCTGGTTCTACTGGTGATGTCCATGGACTGTTTGACGATGCAATTACCCCTTGATTGGTCATATCTTTGATGATGTCTTCTTCATCTCTTTTCGCAAATGGAAGTCGTCTAGGTTGTTGTCTGATTGGCTGAGCGTCTCCGATATTAATTTTATGCTTTATTATGCTTGTTTTGCCATTATCCTTCTTATCAATGGCGAAAACATCTTGAAATTCTATCAGCATAGACTTCACTTTTTTAGTTCGTTCATCAACAAGATCTTGGCACGTTTTAATCATCGTCTCAACAAGCTCCTTTGGATACTTAGATTTCGACGGTTTCTCATTAGTATTCATGGAACAAATCGAAGCCACGGGAACACACTGTCCGATCAAAGTTCTTTTACTTAACTTAATAGCAGTTCCCTTTAAATTCATAACTCTTACAGGAACGACATCTCGAATTCTCACCAAAACTTTTGCCGTTAGGAACTCGGCATTGTTCACATCTTCGACCATCCTTAAACTTCCCTATCGGCAGTAACCATCCGGTCTGGTCATCAAAATTTTCTCACTATTACCGGGTATTGTTACGTCGCAAGTAGTTATTAAGCTGATAACATCTTCTTTCTCTTCATGAAACGGCAAATCTTCACCACTGATCTCGAGAACTCCATCTTTGACATTCAATACAGCCCCAACTTTCCTTAGTAAATCCATCCCCAATATGAACTCGTCAGAGATCTCTGCAATTAATACTCTATGTTTTCTGTGGTCTGGCCAATGGATACTGACATATTAGACTCGCCATATGTATTAATTATCTCACCAGCTGCTGTTCTAAGCTTTACTGTTGCAGGCGATAATTTAAGATGGTCTCGTACTACTTCTGGCCGTGCAATAGTTCTTGTTGCACCTGTATCTACCAAAAACGATCTACATTTATTATGAATGCGACCCTCGATGTACAAGCTATGAATTCCACCGGAGGACGTAATGTTCACAGTTACTATGGGGGCTGTGTTTCTCGAGGTCGGCAGTTGCCCCTTGGTATCGACCCGTTCTAGTTTTCCGACTGTTGTATCATTTTCTTGCAATTACGGCGAATGTGACCTACGTCACCACAATTCCAACATCTGGGCTCGCGTCTCTTCGGCATCGTGTTACGAACTACTTTTCGTACCATTTCTTCCAGACGTTCATCGTTTGGTTCGTCGCCTTCTTCAATGGTTCTTACTCGATGGTTCCGTGAAGTTTGACTAGCTGTTCCATGTTCCAAAGCAATAGCGAGCGCTTCATCTAGAACTTTCGGTCTTGCTAGCCGTAAAGCTTTCTGTAATTCACTTTCTTTTAACCCATTGACCAAGGTATCTACAGCAATTTCTTCCAAAATGTTGTCTGGTACTTCCGGATAAGCCAACCGCACTATACGAGCAACATCTGCTTCAAACTCTTGCAAATTTTCACTTGCTCGTTAAACTCTACTTCTTAGTTGCCCCTTGTAGACTTGTTGTAGATGGGCATCTCCGTAACGTTTGTCTAGTCGAGTGAACAAGGTCTGCTAACATTTTTCTTGACCCTTAGGAATCGATCTTAGGATATCCGCAGCATCACCTCGTAAAGCAGCAGTCAAGGAAACAGCTTTTTCTTGTTCTGCCCAATGATTGGCTGTCGCAATAGCTTCAAATTGTCTAAGGTATATGGACCAAGAAGACTTTCCATCAAATGGTGGCAATTTGAATCTTATATGATGTATCGTTTCGTCTCTTGGTAATTCTTCTTTCACTACCGGATCTAAATCTACCGTATTAATTGGTGGTAGCACTTTCGTGTTAGTCATCATGGTCTCTAATTGTTTGATCTTCTCTTCTACGTTGTTTACATTTTTCTGTATCTGATCGAATGTTTTAGAGACTTCTTCAAATTCCCCATTGTTCTTTTTAGAAGTTTCTTCCATTATTTGAGAAACATTTTCAAATTTCTCGTCACATCTCACTTCTAGACACATTTTCGAGTTTCTCGTCATTTTGTCTAGCTACTTCTTTAATAATTTGTGAAGTCTCGTCGAATCTTCTAGATACATTTTCACATGTTTCATCAAATCTTTTGAAAACGTTCTCTAATTTATCATCATTTTTTTAAACCATAAACATATACCATTATAAATCAAAAAAGTTTTACTCGTAATATTTTTACTGTACTCTCAGTGTAACTTACTATAGTACACAAAAGTACGCCCACAAATAATGTGAAGGCTATAAAATTTGTACTATAACAAAAAGGGGTTTGCATGATTTATATAAATTATAATTTATGTAATTTATATTTATATAAATTACAAATAAATTTCTTATGTGGGTCAGCATGTAATTCTGAAGAGATTATAGATGAAACATTTATATGTAATTCATAATTTTAATGACAGCTTTTAAGATAAGAAATTTATTCCATAGTAAATTGATAACTAGCAAACGAATTGGTATATATAAAATGATATAATTTAGTACCACAAAGTCCACATCAAACTGATATTTTTGATTTTTATTAGATATTTTTGTTATTTTAAGGTGTAAGCTTGATGGCCATCTTCGTCGTAACATTTCTCCTGATGGGCTTCGACATATTTTCCAGCGTGGTAGTAATAATTACAATTACGATGATCCTAGTGAATCTAGGAGGCCTCATGTACTGGTGGCACATCACTTTGAATGCAGTCTCTCTAGTCAATTTAGTAATGGCAGTAGGAATCTCCGTGGAGTTCTGCTCCCATCTGGTTCACAGCTTCTCAATGTCCATGAAGCCCACTAGATTGGAGAGAGCTGCTGATGCTCTCTCTACGATGGGCAGTTCAGTGTTTTCGGGTATTACGCTAACGAAGTTCGGTGGTATCATCGTGCTATACTTCGCCAAATCGCAGATCTTCCAAGTATTCTATTTCAGAATGTACTTGGGAATCGTACTATTAGGAGCCGCTCATGGACTCATATTCTTACCAGTTCTACTTAGTTTTATAGGTAAGTGTAATAAATTATTGTGTTTTATGACATAAATTGAGGCATTGAAGTAAAAATTTTATGCTTTACTAGGTTGTGTTCATCTATAAAAATGTTTCATGTTCCGTCTAAATTTTTGTTATTAAGAATAGTGCTCTCGATTTTTGTGTATAGAATTTTTTATATAAAAATGATTGCACGTCATTCAAGATTTACGACTTTAGAACACCACAGCGTTGCCAAAACATCAGAATAGTTAGTAAGTCAGGATGTTTTAAAAACTATTTGTCAAACTGTTATTACAGTAATTATTATAGTACTACTGCAACACACTAAAATACATAAGAAAACATTTTAATACAAAATTATAAATTCTAAATTTTAAATTTACCTCTTTTATAATAGAGCATTAATAAGCTACTGCGCGTGAAAAAGGTGTTAAGTCATAATTTATCAAAACTGGGGTAAGTCAAATTTCGAATCTAAACAAAAGGAACTTTTGTTGTGCAAAAGGGATAAGTTAACATAAACAATATCTACCATGTTTTGTGTATGACATCATATGTTAAATCACATCAAATTCAATTTAACATCGTAAAATGGAGTTATGTCTACTTGACTCCTTGTTCACAATAATATACTGATACACACGAATACTGAAAAACGAGTTAACTCAACATATCTTGTTTTTCACTTAAAGTACTGTAAACTGTTTAAATGACATATCTATCATTTTTCACTTTTGATTTTGTTGTACCATATTCTTAAACCCAGCGCAAGCGCACAAATCGGTCAGTCTCCTAACCTACATTACCGTAGTCACATAAGAGCACGTGCCGGTAGTGAATTATAGGTATTTTAAGTGCTTAAAGATGTTATCGAGAGGGCAAGTGTTAAGCGAAAGATAAGTGAAAAATAGGCAATTGTGTGTATCAATTTAACATTTTTGTTTCGTTTTACGAGTTGAGATTAATACATGATGCGTAATTAAATTTCTCTTTGTTGTACCTTCATACAGGGTGCGGCATTAGTGTAAGGAAGTCTAGTATCTTTTATGTTCTCTGAGATAACATACTGCAAATTAGTAAGCGTTAAGCTTTGTATTTAAAATAAGTTACAAATTTAGTCTCATAACGTTTTACCACGTCAAAAATATATTTGCTTATTGAAATGTTTTCTAATTTATGATTTTTCAATGTTGAAGACGCCGACTTCAAAAAACAAGTAAAAAAAGTCTAAAAACACTTATTAAGGAGCTACAAGGGTATTGAAAATCGATTATTTTAAAACTTTTGACACTATTTATAGACAAACTACTGAGTATTGTACACATATTCAATAAGTGTTAACTGTTTCAAAATATTGTGTTATTTATACCTATTATTTATTCAGATGACACAGCTGCAAGATATTGATTGAGATGATAGTTTTAATGACCCAAACTATATACCCGATATTAATGCTGATAAAGAGCAGTCTCATTCCGAGAGTTATAATCACACACAGGGACAATGGCGGAGGAAACATCAAAGAAACGAAAACATTCAAAAATAGACACCAGAAAAATGCGAAGTAATAACATGTTAACACCAAAATGCACCAGAGGAGTTGTTCCTATTACAGTAGAAAAAAAGCAATATTTAATGGATCTTCTGCAATATATTCCACATTTATTGTGGAATTTTTAAACTAATCTTACGACGAGCAATGAACAATGAAGAAATAGATGTTCTGCTGAATGAGTCATCTTCTGAGGATGAAGATTAGTACCTAGTTTATAATGTTTTTAGGAAATAAATCCTTTATACTGCAAACTTTTATTGTCCTAAGTGAAAAAAGAAATGTCAAACTAACTGATTGTGAATGTCGTTAGTCATTCAAAGGTCTGTGAAAAAAGATATAAGCCAACAAAGTCGTGTGTAAAAAGGGTTAAGTCTGTGAAAAAAGGTATGTCAAACGGCTCATTGGGCAAAAGGAGGTTAAGTCAATCAAAAGTCTTGATACCGTAACTTTTTTTTAATTTTCTATTGACCCTACTATTTGTTCAATGTTTCTACATTCTCTCGCAAAATTAAGGTATTAGAACATATTTACAAATGCCTTTTACTAGATACGAAATTTTCCCTCCAATTTTTAATTTGAATTTACTCAGTTATACTTTTTTTGACTTATCTACTTTTTCATGCGCAGCGAATTTGTAGTTTTGGCATAACACAATCACAATACACAACAATAATTAGTTTTTAAAGCTATTAATCTAAATTTAATATGTATTTATAAATTCAATGTATTAATATATAATATATTATGATCAAATTGTGTAAGAAATCAAAACATAAACAAATTTCTTACTCTAAAAAAGCGGCAACACTTTAAACAATTTTTCCACACGCTGAACTGTCATTAAAATTTGAAGTATTCCCGTATAAGTTGCGTACAATTGTCTAATCTATTTAATTAAAATTATTATTTTGTGGAATATTAAACTTAAAGAGTTATTTCATAATATTTATATTATTAATAATAACAAATGTTTTGGTTATTTAATCAATATAATTCTAAAATTCCCAATATAATGATGATTACATTTTTCTGATTATTATACCATGTTGACGCATATAAAAGATCGAGCAGTTCCGTATGGGTTTCGTATTATTAGCTGTGTTAAGAAAATTTGACCTCTAAGGTTGACGTTCTGGAAATTTTAAATATAAGTGACGTCACTTTGTATAAAATAACTTTATGGGCTTTTACTTGCCTTGGAAAGCAGGTTTTTCCTATTTTATTTCGTTTTTCTATACATTGTTATGACATTTTTTAGATTTCTTTTTTAGACATATTTTCCACTTTGGTATTTGTTTTCGTGCTGTTAAACTATTTTTGAACTCTGATAAAAGTGCCTCATTGACATTTGAAAGTTTTAAAATCTGATATAAATATTAAAATAGCATGATGCTGATTAAATCAAAGAAAATATAACAAAAATGAAGAACGACAAGGAATTACGACAAAGATGTGTATTATCTCCTCTAATTTTTAATATGTACTCAGGATAGATGTTTAAAGAGGCACTAGAAGACATCAATGAAGGCATATCATTTAACGGAACACTAGTAAATAATCCTAGATGTGCAGACATATAATATTCGTTGCGGCAGCAGAGAAGGCTACAAATTTTGGTTGATCGCACTACTCAGTACTGCGAGAGGTATGGAATCTCTTGGATTCCTGGAATGGAGGCTCTTGAACACAAAAAAATAAAAACCATGATTGTCAATAAGAATAAGATTGAAGGCGAAACAATCTACGTTAAAGAAGAAGCTTTAAAGAAAGTACCCAGTTGCAGTTAATTGTAGTAGAGTCGTCAGAGACTTGTTTTATAAAAATCATACTAAAAAGCTGAAACGTTTACCACTCTTACCCTTCGGTTTCCTCCTAAAAATCCGATATTTTTTCAGGGTGTCCTATCCCCAAAAACTAAAATACGTTTTAAATGTGAAGAATGCAGTGTTTGTATCCAATGTTTGTATTTTGACGCAAATAAAGTCAGTTTCTATAAATCTATTCAATAACTAACCGTTGCGCGATTTTTGTCATTTTTACGATTCCATCATGATACCAATAAAATTTATCAATTCCATTGACCGGTCGTAGTGCAGTTTTCATTGTCAAAGTTCATTGTCTTTAAAACATATGAAATTTCTATTTTGGTTTTTGGCAACAAATATGAGGCATTTGAAATATGCCTAAAAACGCATATTTTAAACATTTACATTATAAACGATTACACGTCTCGAGATTTGCCTCCTCGAAGACGATATTGGGTTGAATTTGTAGCTGAAGTTGTATAGTTTCATAAAACGTACTTATGTAATCGTGTAATCGAAAAGAAGCAGTTTTAATCATTTTAGATCGTTTGTAACGGTTTTAGAAACCGATATTTCACGCTATAGGTTTCAAAGATTATACCCTAAAAATGAAAATGGCATAGTGACCGATCAATGAAAGTGATAAATATTATTGATCTCATGAGAATCGTAAAAAATTATTAAAAACACCTTTATAAAAACTGACTTTATTTACGGCAAAATACAAAAATTCCATACGAAAGCTGCATAATTTACGTAATTTTATTTTTGTTGATATGACACTCTGATCAAAAGATATCGATATCGATAGATTTTTACTGTCAAGTTGATACAAATTTTATTTAAAACTTATTTCGCGTACGTATTCAAAATCGCCGTTCGCTTCAAGCGTTGTTTCTGATAAAACGGTTTATTCTACACAAAAAGTGCTAATAAACATATTTGTTTAAATTAAACATAGTTACATTTTTTTTCCTACGGTATACACATTCGTGCTAAATAGATTTTTTCCGTTTTCCCCACTACTAGGGAGTTTAAGGGGAAGCCCGGGAGTAGGAGTGGTAAAA